CATGACTATCAGGCAGCAACAACCCATGGATTAAACACTTATAAATACGGAGGCATAAGTCTTGTCGATAATTCAAGATGACATCCAGTCGATAGCCAGCAAGACAACACGTGTGTTGGAGATGTTGACGTGGTCCATCGCGTTCTTGATATATTAACATTCATAGTGTTTCTGCTCTAAATCAGTGAGTGAGTGAGTTAATATTTAACGTCACATCGGCAGTATTTCAGTTATGACATGGATTTACCATCCCCTCAGGTGTTCTAGGAGTTCATATGTCAAGTGGAAATTTGACACAAGGGTTGTCACAACTCTGCCACGTCTCTCTCTAATCTGAATCAGTACAACACCTCCGTGGCAAGTGTGGCATGACAAGAAACACACGTTCTACTCCACATGCGCCGGTGTCTACAGTCCTACAACACCAGGAGTGGCCAGACTTGTGAACATATATATGTTGAAAGCAATGTATGTAACACAGGCTTAGCTCTCGTGGTCTTCAATGCATCGCAAACCAAGAGAGTAACTGAAAATTAAAGAACTCTTACTAAATATGATTATGTCTATATACCCACCACTCGTACCTGTAGCAGTTTGTAAAATGTAATCCGCTGCTTGGTAATTGTGTGTAAAAATAGATCGGTTCTGCCACATGAGCCCCCAATATGCTTGAAACGTACGTTTGTGGTGACTTAGCGCTAGTACAATCTAACATCACTGAGATATTTTCAACTGGATAAGATTGTTTCTCAGTTAATAGCATTTAGCTGTCATTTTCACAGATGTAAAATACAAAACAGTAGAAAAACACAGTTTTGGGTGCATGATTACTCATATCTTACAACGGATACGTGGCTCGGTTTCGCCCGTATACTGGACGCGAGTGAGTGTTACGCGAATCGGTACGATACTTACAGAATGTCATTGTTTTGCGTTGGTGTTGTTCGCCATTCCATCACAGATACCCAACGCCATTGATTCTCGATACCCTGTTTGAGCAGATGTTTAAACACGGGAAGGTCGATGAGTCTTAATGAAAGTTGTGAAGGACGATGTAACTGCACACACCGATCACATGACAGTTGAACATACGTCTTATCGACATATCGAACTCCCCTTTCTACTCACGGTTGCCCCTCTTTGTAAGTGATGTAAAAATAGGCGTGGAAGTATCTAACGATTTGGTCTTTAGATTCAGTTAAATTTGGTTATATTAGTGCTGTCTGTGTACTCGGGGGAGAGATGGTACAATCGAGGTCGGGATTCTGTTATAGATGAGGTGAAATTGGGTTTAACGTCGTGCTTGAGAATATTTCGCTCATATGACGACGTGCATGCGTGTGTATGTGTATGTGCGGCTGCTTGTACTAGCCCAGACTTAAGCTGGTTTTATAGTGCTAGCCCACTGAGATACCATGCCGCAGTGAAGCATGAATACCCCACTCAGACACATTATACTGACTCCGAGCCGACCAGTCCTTGTTGTACCCATTAATGCCGAGCGCCAGGCAGGGACCAACAAGTACCATATTTTAACGTCTTTTGGTATGACGCGGTCGGGGTCGAACCCGCGACCTTCCGCTCTCCGGGCGGACGCTCTAACCACTACACCACGGAGGCGGTCTGGATTCTGTTATATATATGTTATATAAAATACTAAACAGAAATAGTAAAGTAACTACCTTACCAAAAATAATAATCTAATATCCATTGTTTCTGTGTCTCTTCTGTTATTGTAAACAGTACTTTTTTCCTGTCAATGTGAGCATTGTTAATGTGGCGAATCCTTGTTTGTAAATGTATTGCCGATACGCTTACAAGAGGAAAGTTGTAATAATTTACCCTGGTAGTACCGTGTTTCCTCCAAAAAGCCTAATGTCATTCAATTACTGAATACACCAACTTTGGACTGGTGACGATTACGCTTCCATATGTCACCGTACACATTCTATTGATCAATATTAACTTTATACAAAAAAGTAACTAATACCTTGGCATGCCAATAATACCATCAATATGTTCTTTTACATAATTCAGATCTGCACAGCTAGCTATTTTGAAAAATATGGTCGTGAAAAGACTGAAGACATGGTCTTGAAGCACACAAGCATTACAAATATATGCCATGATTTTAATGGATACAAATTCGCTCATTTTATAGTTAATTCCACGATAATGAAATAAACACCATAATAGGCTTTTTCATGCTCTGTAACAGCGTGTACTGTTTTATAATGGAGTGTACATAATTATTAGATTTTAAAATATTTATTTTACCAAGCTAATTCCCTACTGGTAATATAAAAAACGTTGTAGTTCTGTATCACTGCCTGGGTTTTAAGACCTGAGCATATTACTAAGATGTTTTTAATTTTCGCTTAAGTGTGTTTTAAGCCTATATATGCCGTGAGATGTTTCATTTGTAATTCTGAAATAAACTTTCTTCACAGCTGCTAGTTTTCTCCAGAGCTTTACCAACTTCCACAGGCAGGTTTTTTGATTCCCTCCAGGATATGACGTGATCATCTTCAACGTTGTTTATGTCGGCCGCATGAACACCCGCGGTGATCGCGTCGTTAAAGTTTTCCTATTCTCATCCTGTCTGTCCCCAAGGCATCATCAAACCCTCTCTACGTCTAGTTATTTCAGTTTTCAAATACTCATAATCAAATAACTATCGGTTGAAACGCTGCAAAACGGTGACAAAACAGCTATTGCAATCGTTCAGGCACATCCTAATATATGGTTAGTATTCCCACTGTTGGATGTCTGGTTCAATCTGTTAAATCTATTTTATCTTTCACAAATTCCGGTCGTGCATAGATTGCAAGTTTGAACATGTGATAGTTTGATACTGCTTTTATATGGGTTTCACGCCAATGGGTGTTGCCAACCAGGGGGTCATATGGTGTTAGGAACACGTCTCTGATGGTGCGTTCCGAGTCCAATCGTTCATCTCGAAGTAAATGATGAGCTAGGGGATGTATAATCGCCCCATGATGTCGTACATTTGAGAAAAAAGTCATATTGAATTTTGACATCTATGAACAGGTTAATGTATTGACATTTACTATCCATACAAGCTATTATCAAGCATATTCAATTACATATGACTAAAGAAACAGTATGTCAATAGCAATGGACTCCTGAAGGGCCAATTCCTGCAACGACAATTTCACGCAAATGAATATATGCTGAGGATTCTGTACTGGAATGTGTACAACCCTTCCTGTTTTCTTCCAATCCGTGATCTAACTGAATACCTGCTACTATTAATCACACCAGCTTGTGTATATACTTCCTGCTGATTACATGCCATACTATAAGCACCTTCTATGAGTCTGTGTTAAATCAAAGGGTGATTGCCAAGCATTCAAACTCGAACCCACATTAACAGGAACTACACGCGTCAGCACCAGTTCCGTAATTACTGGACACCTCTGCTTCATGCACAGCCGACTGTACGATTCCTACTATCGTCAATATGCATAATACTGAATTGTTTCAAATAGTATTAAAACGTAGCCTGCCCAAACAGGGCCAGCTGCAACAAACACTCGCAAAGCCAAGTCAATTGTACACCTGAAAAAAACACGATTAACACATCAACAATGAGAGGGTCGAACTGGTCTGAAACTAGTGTTGAGACTAGCACTACAACATGTTAAATCTGATGCACATGTACACATTTTGGGAATCGATCGCGGGTCTTTAGCCAGATGAGCGAACGCCTTGAGAACTGGGCTATGTAGACACTGCACAGAAGGGAACTCGCCTAATGAATGAACGGTACCGCGAGCCCCCAGCTTGTGATTTGATATGTGAATGGTTTGAAATGATGACAGCTTTGCTGTTCAGAGTGTTCAATTCGTGGAGGTCAGCGCTGTATAAGTGGCCTTTATTATATTATGTGTGACTGCGGCGCAAAACAAGGCTCACTTGCTTGCCATAACAGTCAGACGATGTATGATACATTTATGAATATAGAAATCTACTTGCACAAAGGGAGGGACATTTTCACATCGGGTTATGTTCCCTGCCCTGGTAAACCAAATGTGAGTGGGCATTAATGAAGACAATGAACAACCTTCTAGCAAGGCCGACATCATTGTTGACTTACCCCGGTCACGTACAGTACATTCACTCGCTGAATCGTACAGGGTTAACACTGTTATTGCCATAGGCTTTCATCACCTAAGCTCCCTTCTGACTCATCGGGAAACAGCACGGTCGCCTTTGTTCTGCGTCTAATGTTTTCATTAGACAGGTCAATGGTATTCATAGTGTACACGATTTGGAATGGTTCCATAGTTACATTCCTAATGTAAGCTCTCATTTATAGACCTACAGGTAATGATGTGTAGATTGTCTCTATTAGCCTTCGTTATGGTTATGTACGACAGTTTACTGACTATGGACCCAACGTGCTTTGTGACTGTGAATGTACAATGGCACCCGGGTACTGCTGACTGAATGAAATTTGTTTTAAATCTCACAATGGTAACAAGTGGGTGTCCGATGGAAATTATACTAGACTGGTCACAGGAAGGATGCGACAACAATACTGCGTTGTTGGACACACATACATTACCAACGCCAATGTTGTTGAACATGCTTCTGTTCTTAGTTCCGTGCAGTTTAGATTAACGGTTCACGACCTTGTTCGTCCTCTTTCTATACCGAGGTATCCTATTATTCTGGTGAAACCTGAGCATACCTGCCACAAGTAGCAAAGTCTGTCAACTCGGCTGCAAGTCCTTTGCGGTATATAGTATTCTGTGTCCTTAAGGTTGTCTCATATCACTATGTTTGATTACAAATCCCCACATCTACCCTCAGTTGGAAGTGCTGTGCGTTTAATATTTAATCTATCTGATTACCTTTAAATAATATAGGTTTATATTTACATAAGATAACGAAATCTCACCACAGTGACAGACGAAAGGAGAGAGACAGATATGACCTTGTACTCAATATTCGTGTTCTTCTGTTTCAGACCGAGCATAAAGCGGACATCATGGTGTGCAAGTGGAACGCGTCCAACCAGCTGGAGAGCTTCGGCTACTGCTACTGGGACATCCACGGCTGGTTCAGCCTCATCATCTGCATTTACGGAGTCATCACCAACATCATCAACATCATGGTCCTTACCAAGAAATCAATGTTAAACTCGATCAACCTCATCTTAACGGGCATAGCAGTTTCGGACCTCGTCACCATGCTGTCGTATATTCCGTTTGCCATCCACTTCTACCTGATGAACGACCTGTCTGTCACGCCTCAGCGTTACTCCTACGGCTGGACCATCTTCATGGCCGTCCACATCAACCTCACCCTCACCACCCACACGGTGTCTATCTGGCTGGCTGTCATCATGGCAATTCTAAGGTACATTTTCGTCCGACCAACTTCAAGAGGATCCAAAACTCTGGACAACCATTCTACGTTCCTTGTCATCATATTCTCGTATATAGGGTCCGCGGTTCTCATTGTTCCCAACTGTATTACGACGGGGATAAAGGAGACGTTCAGCCCAACCTTCAACGCCTCTCTGTACAGACTCAACCCACCAGCTATTGGGAAGAACGATACGGATGTAATGGCTCTGGTGAATTTCTGGCTTTACCCAGTTGCTGGGAAGATGATTCCAATAGTATTGATATCCATATTTGGCGGTCTTTTACTCCACACGCTACGGGAGACGGACAAGAGAGGTCGAAGACTCAAGGGCGGAAATTACGGTTCACAACACAAGGCTCATAGACGTACAACGATAATGCTACTGGCAGTCATAGTCATGTATATTTTGTCAGAGGTGCCACAGGCTATTCTCGTTATTCTCAGCGCATGCGTGGATGGATTCTTCGTCCAGGTGTACGCACCCCTTAGTGACCTGATAGATTCTGTTGCTCTCATTAACAGTGCCGTGAACTTTGTCATGTACTGCACAATGAGCACCCAGTTCAGGCGTTGTCTGATGGAAATGATCCACAAGTGGCTACAGCTGATTCGGGAGAAGAGCAAAGTGGCCTGGCCTAACAAAGAATCAACGGAGGCAACGTTCGTATGAAACATGCTATCTCAGGACCTAGGGCAAACTCTTAATCAATAACGAGTCCGTGTGCACGAATAATCTTGTCCACCGGGGTTCGCCTAGTGTTGCATGTGCCTATATGAGATACAGCGCTAGTCCAGTGTAAATATCATCAATGACACGACCATGGTTCGTGGTGTTTGTACATACAGTCGTTAACACTGTGATAGATATACATGTGTTGTTGGTCGTATAGCAACCAAAGATACCAGTATGTGAATTGTCGAGGTTCGTGTAAACGTCGTAATTATGTGTTTTAGAGACTGTGTGTGATTTGTGCCTATGAACCTACAATACCCCAACACACTCACAGATACATCCACACACAAACACACACATCCCATTACGTACCCTTCAGTACATAGCTCTGTTTTCAATATATGTCAAATGTTTATAACAGGGTGAAAAGCCGGTTCTGCATAATCCTCCATTCCGTGTATGCAATTAACGTCTGTTTTCACATGGTGTCATCTGTCATCCACGTGATGCATCGGTGTCATTTGTATCACACGTGGTAAATTGGTGTTATCTGTTACACACGTGGTGTTTTGGTGTCATTTGTCATCCACGTGGTATATTGGTGTCATCTGTCATCCGCGTGGTGTATTGGTGTCACCTGTCATCCACGTGGTATATTAGTGTCATCTGTCACACACGTGGTGTATTATGCCATCCGTCATCCACGCGGTATATTGGTGTCATCTGTCATCCGCGTGGTGCATTGGTGTCACCTGTCATCCACGTGGTATATTGGTGTCATCTGTCACACACGTGGTGTATTGGTGTCATCTGTCATCCGCGTGGTGCACTGGTATCACCTGTCATCCACGTGGTATATTGGTGTCATCTGTCACACACGTGGTGTATTGACGCCATCTGTTATCCACGTGGTTTACTGGTGTCATCTGTCATCCACGTGGTGTATTGGTGTCATCAGTCACACTTGGCGTATGGTTGTCATCTGTGGCACATGTTGTGTATTGGTGTCATCTGTCACACACGTTATATTCACTGTATGTATATCTATGACTATCCACACATGAGATGCACATGTGATGTATACACCGTTACACATGCACGTGATCGGGTACACACACCACATTTGGATGTCACACCCCTGATATAGGCAGTTCCCATATGTACACAAACGTGATTTCAACACACAGTTCACGTGTGTGCTGTGTCCCAGGTTTTGCTATTTCACCCACATGATCTGTCATGTGACCTACTACAGTAGGTACGGTTATTTCGAAATAACGGATGTAACAAACTGTTTTTGGTTACACCCACTTTTTGTATATTATACCCGAACTCGAACAACAAACTACTGTTATAGCGCACTAAGACAGTAGTTCCTTTGAGTTCGTTATAACTGTGGTTTACTGTCAGTACCCTTATTCCCATGTTTGTGTCGAATACTATAAATGTGTGTATCAATTCCATGAATTTATTATGTAAATGATCTATTGCGGTCTCTCACATTCCAATAGAAGTTTTATGGTCATGGCCGTAGTGGCAGTTCAGCATTGTTAAAACGAGGGACCATTAATATTGTCGTGACTTGGTAAGTGTATGTTTCTGGTGGTATTCCAGGGCGTATAATATGTTGTTCGGTGGTCGACAAAAGATGAGGATGTTTCATAGTTCTCGTTAATCTGAAAACTAGAACCAAAGCTCCTCACCCCAGGGTTTGAGGAAGGGGAAGGTAGCAAACTCAGGAGGGGGGGGTGGGGGTGTGGGGGTGTTGAAAGGAGGTTAACAGGTTTCACGGAATAACAGGGGTAGGTTCCATATGTAGGAAAGATGTTGAGAGCCGATTAATGGTGTCTCAAACTTTGCGTTTGCCACATACGCTTAAAGCTCACTTAATTAATTCATGAAACCCATCGCTCACAGTCCCTGAACCATATTTTACCTGTCGCCAAGCTCTGTCTTTCATGTAAACGCCCCAAATGAAGCAAGTCTAGATTTTCAACAGAGAAAATCCAATCTCACTGGGCTCTTTTTCAATTAAAATGCAGAGCTTGTTTCTATCAAAGGTATATACTTTCAGAAACTAAGCGTTAATCTAAGATAACAAGTTTACCGTTTTGGCCATACATGTTTCCTTTGTTATCAATATAGTCACTGTTAGTTCCTTTTTGAAAAAGTATGCCCTAATCCTTCCTGTCTGAATCACATTAATTGACTGTTTGTTTGAAGAAGAAGATCGAATCTCTAAGTCAACATAAAGTACTACGATCTATCAATAACCCTCGGTACATCCCACCTTTGAAGAGATATTGATTATCTTCCAGGCATCTTGATACATCTCATAAAGTACTTCATACATCTTTAGATGGTCTAATTACAAATGTCATGTATGAAGTCTTCAAACACAATAAAAACCAATTTATACATGAGTTGAAGAACAGACAATCCTTTAATCTGGCATGGAGAATAATTAATAATCAATGAAATAATCGAATATTCCTTACTTTCTTTCAATCAATATTTATAGGTGTTATCCATATGGAAATATGTCTAATTTGTATCACTGACTGACTGACTGAGTTTGATTTTACACCGCTTTTAGCAATAATCCAGCAACATCACGTCGGGGGACACCAGAAATGGGCTTCACACAGTGTACCCATGTGGGGATTCGAACCCGGGTCATCGGCGTGACGAGCCAACGCTTTAACCGCTAGGCTACCCCACCGCCCCCTAATTTGAATCAACGATGGGCTGAATTATGCAAACCGAGCGACAAAAGAAAATATTCTTTTTTATGTTATCAGAATTGAAGAACTGTTAATTAATTTGAGTTTGTGGTTTGTAATTTTGTGTAAGAATGCAATAGTTCGATGATGACTACAGTCAGAAAGGAATTTGCAGTCACATGACCATGTTTGAAATGGAAATTTGTGCCTAGAAAAGCAACTTTTTTATATTTCAGTGATAGGATATCTAAAATAGCAATCATCAGCTGTGTATAATATGAAGAGATTTTGTAAATTTTTTTTAAACCTTTTATATCCCTTATATTTGGAAAAAATAAAACAAGTGGAAGAATTTTGAGAGCCTTCAAACAAGCGGTACAATTGAATTATTTTTACAAATAATGCCAAAATAAGAAATTTTCAATTAAAAATCAAACATAGATCAACTAAGAGGATTGGTCTCTTTTTATCTTCACCGTATATGTAATTTCTATCAACGATAACCTGTGTGTGCGTTATAGTCATGTTCCTATAACCTTGCCAGTTCTGAAACTTTGAGGGGCGGTGGGGTAGCCTAGTGGTTAAAGCGTTGGCTCGTCACGCCGAGGATCCGGGTTCGATTCCCCACATGGGCACAATGTGTTAAGCCCATTTCTGGTGTCCCCCCGCCGTGATATTGCTGGAATATTGCTAAAAGCGGCGTAAAACTAAACTCAGTCAGTCAGTCAGTCTGAAACTTTGAAGAGGACTATAAATGAATACTGCATAGGATTTCAAATTTTAAGTCTGTATTTTGTTAGCGTTACGGTATTACTGAAATGTTATCAGCAATTTACGGATTCAAGCAATATCACGTGATGATCACTGAACACTTGATGTTACATCTGATACATCTGACATATATCAAACACAGGTTCATTTCTACAGTTTCGCAATTCGATATTTTATAATTGCCAGTTAAAGCTAATATTGCTACGCGGAGCCATACCTAATTCAATTCGGACATTTTCTCACATTATTACTGCATTTTATCTTTAATTAATGTATCCTTATTTAATCCTCCCCCGGCATCCTACTTAGTGTAATGCTTCAGCCACCCCCTCCAGTGACGCTGAATCCTCCCAGGAGGGATCGCTGTCGTAATGATCACACGGTCCTGTCAGGAGTTGGTGACAGTCACGGTGACTCGGTGCGAGCGCATTACATGCCTGTCGACGATGTTCTTAATGGCACAAAATCTTTCCTTGTCGAGATTTATTCTCTGTAACTAAGGAATGAACGCCTTGTGTCTTAATTAGAACCGAGAAGAATGATTACCTCGTGCAGAGGAAAGGTCGATATCGTACGTGCATTATACTAACGACTATGTGTTAGGTACCCTAGCAGTACCTGTTTCAGATAGACCGTCTCGCTGTGTGGAGCCGGTCACGTGATCAACATGTCCCGTACAATGCGTGTCTAATTGTGGCTTTCTTCACACTCGTTGAAATTAAAGGTTTGGGAAAAGCCAAATTTCCCCTTTCGGAGTGTATGTCGTTTTCCACTGTGAGTCTTTCCCACAATGCCTATACACAACCTATATCCCTACTGTCAACTATGTCGCACATACATGTATGTCATTTATATTCCTGGATGTAAGAATTATGTTATGTACTTATATCGTCCTATTTGTATATATTGCTCACTACCGAAAGTAATTGTTTTACAAAAAAGAATGTCGGTTGAAATGTGATTATTGTTATAATATGATTATAATACCATATTTGTCGTATGCGTGTCACCAGGGAAGATATATAACAGCTGATATACTTACGGTCCACAGATATATCCATGTATATCAGGCCTCTGTTCCTGTCTGGCGAGATGGAAAATCGGCCTTGGTAGAACGGACATTCAAGAGTGCAAAATCGGCTCTAACGGAAGCGCTCGTAAAATGTCATAATACTCCACCATAACAATCCGAAACCTCTCTGGACGACGTCATAGAGAAGTTGGAACTCCTTATATGGATTGTAGTCGATGTAATAATACAATATGTATACGTATCAAGACCTGTATATAGTCTGTAGATGTATGAGATTAATCTGTGGAGCGTGTTTCCTCCAAACATACCTGAAGTTTATATTTCAAATCTCACAAAAATACTTCGCTAAGAAATTTACACATTTTTCTCAGCATGTGTTAAAGACCCCTTGTAAGGAAAGAATGACAGGTATGTTTAAGAGGAAAATAAATTCAGTCGATATATCTTCTTTGAGCATAGCTGTCACGTGACTAATGGCAATACAATAGTCGTGTTTATAGTCGTCATGTAAAAAGAAGATGGACGTTGTAAATAAAATACCGGCATTAAGATGTACTAAGCCCGCGTGTTTTCATTTTTGAATTTAATTTCAATCTGCAATAGTCAAACAGAATAGCTACAACAGCCTGGTAACAACAGCTCAGTTTGTATTGTTAAAGACCATAGCCTGGGAAGCTGACACTTGTGGGTACAGAGCCGACATTGAGGTTCCAGGAACACTAAATATAGGATCGGGAATACTAACCCACGATTGCTTAAGTGGATTCCTGCGAGAAATTAATCCCCAAATTGATACAATATGGAGTTTCACAAGCAGCCTCTTCGTCGGACACGTTGCCCATGTGTGAGACGTTATCGTATCTAATGAGGTAGGACCTGGAACCAGGAACCAGCTTTCACTCACACTGGTCTTTCGCCCCACCGTCTGTATGGCTATCCTTCACGTTAACGCATCATAGTCTCCATCGTGTTTCTTTGTCTGTTTAAAGCTGCAATATTAGACCTATAGTGGCGGCCTGTTTGTACTACCTCATATACAACATACTCAAGTCTAGACCGGACAACCTATTGAATAATACTTTGAACAACAATCCATGCTGTCAGGGCAAGGCAAACAATTTAATGGACAAACAATTTAATGGACAAACAATTTTACACCAAGTACAACACCAAGTACATTTACAAATTTACCGGGTCCTACCACCCGATCCATTGGACACCTCAAGTGACCGGGGACCAGTTCTCCAGACCGGAATCCACAGGTGCTCTCACCATGCTCCTTGACATGACTGCATCCCCGAAGGACACAACAGAAATAGTGTTCAAAGCATTATCTTTCGCATTATTGACACGCGTCATCACTTCCCACTTTGCGTTTAACAGTGGTACAAACATGTTTCATTCTGCAACATTGTTAAAACACATAGTCTCGGTATAAACATGATATCACATCCTGCAACATTGTTAAGACACATAGTCTCGGTATAAACATGATATCACATCCTGCAACATTGTTAAGACATATAGTCTCAGTATAAACATGATATCACATCCTGCAACATTGTTAAGACACATAGTCTCGGTATAAACATGATATCACATCCTGCAACATTGTTAAGACACATATCACATCCTGCAACGTTGTTCTATAAACATGATATCACATCCTGCAACATTGTTAAGACACATAGTCTCGGTATAAACATGATATCACATCCTGCAACGTTGTTAAGACATATAGTCTCAGTATAAACATGATATCACATCCTGCAACATTGTTAAGACACATAGTCTCGGTATAAACATGATATCACATCCTGCAACGTTGTTAAGACATATAGTCTCGGTATAAACATGATATCACATCCTCCATTGTTGCAACATTGTTAAGCAACATTGTTAAGACACATAGTCTCGGTATAAACATGATATCACATCCTGCAACGTTGTTAAGA